ACAATATACATGGGCAATGTTACTCCTTTTCCAGACTATGGGCCTCCAGTATATACTGTTGTTCCACCAGAATATTATAGACCTCCAGAATCAACGTATTTTGTACCTACAGATTATCAGTAAGTAATTCATTATCATTAAACATGAATTTTTCAATATTATAGTTTCTAAATTTTTCTTTCCTTCAGTGATAGAATGCTTGAGTGTTCTGAATTTCCACATGCTTATGATAATCCAAGCAGCATAAATAGTCCAGCTCGACCAGTGTCAAGACTTCCTTCATATACCCATCATCGTACTTCATCAAATGTCTCAAATGCAAGTACATCAAGTCAAAGTAATATTAACCCAACATTTCGTTTAGAAGATGAGGATGATTATTCTTTATATTCGCCTGGACATTATTACCAACGCTCTTCAAATATTATTTCAAATGTTGGAACATATAGTCCTAGTATGCTTAATCATGAATATGGTTCTCAATTACTGACGCGTCAGAACTCACACGATTCAAATTCAAATTCTGGAGAACGACCTAGTAATTTAGAAGTAGTTAGTCGATTACGTTCAAGTTTAAAACGTTCTAATTACTCGTATAATTCTCCAAATAAAAGCGTAAGTAAAAATAATTCAGGTTCGGGTACTCCAACGAATCCCACTCCACCGGACTCTTTAACTTCTGAAGATTCAAGTTATGTTTCAGCTAAAGATAGCCAGATTTCTATAAGTAGGGTTCGATTTTCTCCAGTAACATTTGATAGAGATGGAGTTTCACGTGATCATAGAGAAACATTACTTGATATTCCTGTACATGGACAGAATCAAGATGCTACCGTACCCTTACAAGCTAATCGGCGAATGAATAGAAGTAGAAAACCAAGCATTTCTGAATTAGAAAGAGAATTTTTATCATAGCATTGGCTTATTTAAGATGAAAAAAAAAATGATAAAAATTAGGGATTGGAAAAGTTCTGTCAATCTTGAAAGTAATACTTAATTGCAATTACACGAATCAAACAGTTTATGATGCAGCAGAAATTTATCGAATCATAAGTAGAAAATACAGCGATGCACGTTGTCAAAGCACTGCCTCCTGCAAAACATTTTATCATGTATTAATACTGGTCATCAAATACAGTAAGAATGTAACATTCCATATACTGAGACATTCTTATAAAAGACTCTTGTATTCAATTAGACTGTTTTTAATTTGATAAAGAACTGATATGTCTCATGTATGTTTTGTAGAAATAGTATAAATATCAAAATAACAATTCTTGCATTGACCATTCAATACTATGGAACATTTTTAAATCGTATTTTAGGTATTATAAATAATTTATTCATACATTCCGCACATCCTGCATCTGCTGTTAGCATTTAGCATATAAATACCATATATTTCTATTATTTGCATGAGTTGAAAAACTTTGAGAAGAGGTAAAAAATATTTTAATTTAAATACTCTGAAAAAAACATATATAAAATTGCATATACATACTTATTATATTATAAAATTTATGATATTAAATCCTTTTTCAGAATATTAAAGATTAAATTCTATACATTTATTTGTTTGTCCAATAATATCTTAGAGAAACGAGAATTGAGAAAATGAAAAAATGAATTTGTTGTTCCTTCAGTTCTACAACTGTCTGCTCATATTTATTACAAATATTAATGTTAATCATAATTTACATTCCATCAAAATTTTTGTGACTGAAAAAGATAGTTAAATGTTAAAACTAATTATTGCATAACAACAGAATGAGACATATAATCAGAAAAATATTGATGACTACTTAACAGGATCATTTATGATTTTTTAAAATATTACTTTGTGACAATATATGTATGTACACTTATAGAATAATTTTATATTATGAATAATAGATAATAGTAACTTTTCATGAAGTCACAATGTTTTCCTGCATTTGCTTAGATATGAAATATCAGTAATTTATAAGAATTGTAATAGATATATGTTTTTCTTTTGATATTAAATTACTAGGTTTCTTATATTATTTTATTAATTTGTAATCTTTATATAGTACCATGGCACTAGATATACGTGTGAAAAGTTTGTACAGTAGCAATTTTAATGCATTTGTAAGCTGTTGGAATATGTTTAATTTAGCAATGCCACGTGCAGTTAAAACAATATTTCTTTTATATATAAAAACAGTATGTATTGAAATAATTAGCATACATATAGCAAAATGTTTGACATACTTAGTTCATTTATAAAAAGTATATAGCCATCTAATGTGTGATATACTTACAAAAATTTTAGAACAAGGACACTCCATATACATAATTATTGTACATATAGGTATATATTGGACAATTACTGTTTATTTAACAATATAATAATGATCAATACATTCCTTTACATTGGTTATATTATATAAAATGTTTTTTTTTTTTATTGAAGTTTTAAATGCACGAATATTTTAGAAATTATTTTGTATTTACTTAAAATGCTAATACATGATCAGAATACTGGGAATTATGTAAATGTACTTCTTTTCTGTTTTCAATCAACTTAGATAGAAAATAGAAAGGAAATCAGTTTATGAAATTCTCTATTTTAATTTATATTCTGCATTTTCGTGTTAAAACAAATTGAACTAAACTTAATTTTGTTATGTTTAATCTTGTGTTTAATTTATTAATTCTATACTAAATAACAACTAACTATGATTTAAACTAAACTTGTAAAAGTTAATCAAAACTTATTTACATGTTGCGTATATTCTACGCTATTTCATGGAGAATCAAAATAATTTTTATCTTTTTTTGATCTTATTATGAAAAATTAAATATAAGAAAAGAACAAATTTTTATTCCAGAACTTATATGTTTTTCTAATAATTTCCTGAATCAGTATTGTAGAATATGTCTTAATGTATATAAAACATTATAGAATTAAAGAAAGGAAAAAAGATAAACTTTGAAGGAAGTTTAACTTTTTTTTATCATTTTTACATTATAATTAATTTTTAAATAATTTATTAATTGTCTTTTAATTCATTCAAAAGTTTTTATACTGGCTCACTAACAAAATTCTTTTTAAAGTATTGAAAATATATTTGAATATTTTTGAAAAATGCTAAATACATTAAATTGGCATTTATACATACAAAAATGTATAGAATATAATAAAACATTTCACTTGAGTCATACTTATATTTTTTCAAAGTTCAGTTTGTGAAATCTTGCATATAAGTAAAAATAATCGGTTGACTGAAACATTTATCATATTATTAGAGATCTATAGAATAAATATTTCATGGATATGCCTTTCTATGTTGTACAAAGATATTCTGCGGTGCTAGTATCATGTACTTAATATGTTAAGAAAGACAGAAAAGTTGAAAATGCTTCCAAGATAATTGAAAAATATTTAATGAAGTCTTAGAATGCTAAATCAATACTTGTTTATAGAAACAATAACTTACTTATACCGAATGTAATATTAGGCAGCTATTAACTATCAATTGTGTAATGGCGTGTGATCGCCAGCAGTGCTAGTCTAAGCTATATTTATTTTTTATATATTATAACTTCTTTAGCTTAAAATAAGAAAAATCCAGTTTTGTATTTCATTAAAGACATTTGTAGATTATATGTTTTGTTAATTAGACAATATGTATGAAGAAACATTCAGAATAACTATATAAAATATATAACTTTATATGTATATTGCCAATAAGTATATTCTCTAATTCATATGTAATAAAACTTAATTTATATACACAAGATAATTATTTTTAATAAATCAGATCAATTCTTTATTTAAGCAATTCAATATGACCAAATATTGTTATTCTGAACATGTTTCATTCAATATAAAGTTAAATTGTAAATATTTTCTTGTTGAAGTTGCACTAAAACTGCATGCCGCTTATAAATAGTAATTTGTACAATAACACCTATGACCAAGAGGATAATTATGAAATAAGTGTGCTTTTAATGTACACAAAGTATTTGCTGTGGTATATATCCTCCATTATTTTGAATGTTTATTTGTTGCAAAATATACTATGCAATTTTATTATCCTCAATTACATTTGATGTTGAGGAGTTTATCACAATTTTATTAGAATTTTTAATTATTCGATATTCATGTGTGAAATTAATTTTATGTCAGTATTCCTTTGTAATATACAAATTTAGAGAACGTATAATGTACTGCAACTCGTAAATCCGTAATTATTGACGATTTATTTAAATTTTAAATTACTCTGTAGTTCTAAGAGTACTACTAATAAGCTAAGTGCAATGTGTTCCACGTGTATTTAAGTAACAAGTGACTGCTTTGGTGTGCGCCTTAAAAATAATATAATGCAGAACCCAAAGCTTGTGAAACGAATCTTTTATGTAATATAACTCTAATAACAATTGTACGAAGATGATAGCAATTTCAAAAAATTTTCTGCGATGAATATAGTTTGCCAAACAAACAAAGGTATTAAGTACTGCATGATTACTCAGATTTGCGAGACACTATAAAATGATATATGAAAAAAAGAAATATTTATCCGATTTATTATACAAAATTACAAAACAAAAAAAATGTAATTTCGTTGAAGAAATGCAATAAGATATATTGTCTTCAATTTTTTACTCAACAAATTTAAATGTAATAAAGCATGTGAAAATTGAATGGGATTGTATTAATGCAGTGTCTGATTTGCACTAAAAATTCATGTATTTTTCCAAGCATTGTACATTATTCTATAAATATTAATTATATAAATTATAAATAGTAACTTAATTACTATAACTAATTAAGTTAATTACTATAACTAATGTAACATTAAAGCATCACAAATTGTAGGTGATGTCTTACTATTATTAATAAATCATTTAAAATAACAGTAAAAATAAAATTAAATTCCTTTTCTTACTGTTTTACAGTAAAAGCTGCTTTTATATATTATTAGAAATGAACACATGATTTTCTATTGTTTAAACAAAAAAATATGTATTTTTAATTTCTTGTATTTAAAAAACTGAAAATTACTGTTTAGTATAAATTTTAATATTTACTATATTTAATAATTATTAAATAAAGTATTGCAGCAATCATAATTATGCCATTAAATATGGATTTTCATGGATGTAATTGTAAAAATGTAACAATTACAGAGGGAATATTTGGAGAAGTCTGGATTGGTAAGTTGATTGATATTACTTTTATTCTATTACATAACATTAAATGTATTAAATACATTTAAATTAATAATAGACTTTTGTAATCAGATAATAAAGATCAAATTTTTAATGACCCCCTACCAAAAATGATAAAATCATATACTATGATAAATACTAATCGAATGGAAGTTGTTGTTATTACCTGGGGTGCTACAATTGCATCATTAAAATGTCCAGATAAATATGGACATTCCGTTGATATTGTCCTTGGTTTTGATGATATGAAAGGTATAATTTTAATATTAATTTCTTATTAACACTAATATTAATAATCTCTCTAATAGTAATTCAACAAAGTTAAACAGTCATTATTAAAATAGAACTGTTTCAGGATATTCAAATCCTATAACAAACCCATTTATTGGGTGTATATTAGGCAGATGTGCAAATCGTATTAAAGATGGACATATCACTATTAGAAGCAGAGATTATGAATTAACAAAAAATGATTTTAATGGAAAACATCATTTACATGGAGGGGTAATAAATTATATATTATGTAAATATACAACAATAATTATATAAATAATAAACAATGTTCTCACTAGACAAATGGATTTGGACGTAAAGTTTGGGATTCCTATATTGCTGGCTGTTCAGTTGTTATGAGTTACTTAAGTCAAGATGGTGAAGAGGGTTATCCAGGTGCAGTATTAACTACAATAAAGTTTAAATTGACTCCAGAAAATAAGCTTAACATATGTATGAGAGCAACAACTTCAAAGCCAACAATAGTGAATTTATCACATGGTTCTATGTTTAATTTAGCTGGACATGTAAGTAATATTTTTTTGAATATACATTTAGTTAAATGTATAAATTGTAACAGGATTCTGGAGAACTTGAATTACGAAAACATAAAGTATTATTGAATTGTGATCGTTGGACATTTGCGGATTACACAGATCCAGTTCCAACAGGTGCTATACATGGTGTAGGTGGAACAGCGATGGACTTTCGAATACCCCGAATTTTAGGAGAATACATGGGCAAAGTATAATATAATTGCATGTTCTTAAAATGTTGAACTTCTTTCTTTAATTATTGCTATTAAATATTGCTAGATACCACCTGGAGAGGGTTATGATCATAATTTATGTGTCACAAAAAGTGGACAATCTGGTAGTTCATTTGTTGCCAAAGTATGGCATGTAAAAAGTGGACGGTATATATAAATCAAATATTTTAATTGTTTATTAAATAATATGATTGCTTTAAATGTATTGATATTTAGTGCTTTAGAAATTTATTCAGATCAACGTGGAGTACAGTTTTATACTGGAGGTCGTTTACCACCTTATATTATTCCAGAATTTTTATCTAGTTATGATTTATTAGAAGTAAATCAATATGTTAATTGCCAACAACATTCTACTTATGTAAACATTAACTTGTATATCATAAATTTAACTGTATTGCAGGACATTGAAGAAGCTGAAGAAATTGGTGAAGTTTATAAAACTGATGATAAAGATGAGGAAGAAATGAAAGTTGTAAAACGTTATAAAAAAATAACTGTGCCAAAAAAATTAGAATTTATTTTAGGAAAACATGGAACTCATTATAAAAAATACTGTGCTTTTAGTATTCAACCACAAAATTATCCTAATGCAATACATTATGTAAGTTTATATATATATATATATATATATATATATATTTTGGTTTCTTACTAAAATTTTTACTAAAATTACAAAAATTAACATACAAAATAAATTGTTTTCAGTCACATTTTCCATGTTCTATATTATATCCTGGTCAAGTTTATTATCATGATCTGACATATAAGTTTGAAGTGCATCTTGCAAATTATATGTAAGAGCTATACAATTTAAATCTATATTAAAAAAATGACCTGTGATAAAATAGTTTTAGTAATGTAATAGTAATTAATTAATTGATACTGTTATTTCTTTTGTTTACATTATTTTTTATCAGTTACTTTTTTTATCAATTTTCTTTTTATTAAAAAATTTAGCTACAGCACTCATTGTGCTACCAAACTTTTTATGAACAATTACTGTACGTTGAACCCAATGTGGAAGTGCTTTCGTTTTACAAGTATAGCGTTTATCTAATAATATTATAGTTGAATAATCATTAATGTGTCGAATAGCTCGTCCAATACACTGATTTACTGCTTTCATACATGAATTTTCATAGAAGTTTTGACCAGCATCTGATTTCTAATAAATCAATAATAAATTAGTATATGTACATTTATAATTAAGTGGTTTTTCTTGTTATGTTATAATGAAAAAACAAAATAAATACATACAACATTTTCGTTTAAATATTTAATTTTCTCTTGTAATTCTAATGACTTGATGTTAGGGTAAGGCATTCCTACAACTATAACACATCTTCCCAAATCATCAGAAAAATTTAATCCTTCACTTAATTTTCCTCCAACTACACTAAACAATAATGATCCATTTTGTGGAGTTTTTGGTTTTTTTACGTGAAGTGAATATTGTTCTAAAATTTCATGTATCTACAATTTATAATATGATTGCTCTACAGTTTATTCTAAATTTATGATTTTATATGATAATTTTATAACAAAATTTAAAAAAAATTTTTAATATTACCTGAGAAGCTAATTTAGGTTCTCGAAGAACATGTTTTTTTAAGGAAAGTTTTGTAATAATACCAGATTTTTCTAAATGTTTATATATTAGTTCTTCAAAATTATAGGAAGGTAAAAATACTATAATTCCAGCTGGTATGATATTACATAGATTTAATAATGCTCTTCCTAATTCATCTAACTGAAATATTTTATTGCAAGAGTCTATCATTTTTATTAATCATTAGAATTATTTATATTATGATTTAATTACTATCAAGATATTATATTTACCAATTTTATATTTTCTCGATTTTGGAAATTAAACTCGAATTCAATGCCAGTTGGTCCATGAGTTATAATGTTACAAACTATGTTTTCTTCAGAAACAACATGATCACATGAATATGTAATAATTCTTTCAGGTGGAGCACCAGCTGCTATAAATAATTGTTCTGTAAACTCATTCATTGGTGCCATTGTTCCCCCAGCTAATATTATAGCTCTAGCATCTCGAACTGTTAATAATTGTAAACAAATTTTTAAAATAATTAAAAGAACAATGGAATGTTAAAACCTAATATAAAATAGAGTAAAGTAAATTAAGTTAAATTAAATTGAGCTGCATACCAATATCATGGAAATGTGCTGCTGGATTTAACAGAAGGTATTTTATATTACTTTGTCCAACAGTTGGACCTGGAATGATAAATATGCGTCCATCACTACAGCAGCTTTGTAAACATTCTAAAAAACTTATAATCGCTATTATTGGATTATTTGTTTGTTCTTCTTTTGGTCGCACATCTATCACTGTATCAGATTTTGTGCTGTTTGTTTTAATTGAATGCAAAAATTGTTTTATGCCAGATGTCTTTGTATTATAATTATGAGTTTTTAAATTTGTATTATATTGTTCTATAAATCCTTCTAGTTTATGACTTAATTGAGAATTTTTAATAAATTTCAACAATTCAAATATATTTACTGTATCAATTTCTGTCATTACTTCAAATTCTTCTATTTTATATAACTTTGGTGATGTTTCTGCATTTGTAGCATCATCAGGATTTGATTTTGTAGTAGCTCCTAAAACTGTTATAAGTTTTCTCAAACAGAAACTTAGTTGAGTTAAGTTCAAAACATTTTTAGCTGAGAATAATGTTTGAAATCTAAAATTAATATTATTTTTATTCTTAGATATATTATTATCTATATTATAACAATGATTGAAATGAGATGTGTTACCTTTTTTGATATTGAGAAAGTTGACTATAACAATGCAATAAATTTCTGCCTGTAATCATAACACTATGTACATTTTCAGTGGCTTCAAGTAAATTATGTGCTTCATCAATTATTAATATATTTCCTTTCAAATTTATCCCTGAGTTAATTCTAGTATTTTTATGCAATATAGTATTGTATGGTACTAGTATCAGTTGACTGTATGGAACTGTTTTTCTTGATGCATAATATGCACAAGTATTAAGACTTTCTCCTTTTTGGACAATTTCTTCAATATCCTGAATCTCTGTCAAGCTTTCTCCTATTAATAAATCTTGATTTCCTGGCAGAAAAGGGCAATTATTGGTTATCTTCTTTCTTTTAAGATCTTTTTCATCTCTAACAGTTGCCTTTTTCCTTTGTAATTGCAAACAGCATTCATTCATTAAATTTAAATGTTTTAACTTTTTTACATTTTTATTAATGCAATAATTTTGCCTAAAATTATTAACAAAATCACAAAAAGAATTTTTATTTTATTGTAAAATAATGATTACGAAACTACCTAGATGATAATGTTATTACAGATACATTTTTTGAATAAGGACTTTTCCTGAGTTCTCCTATAAACTGGGATAATTGAGAATGAGTTCTAGAGCAAAAGAAAATTTTTACATTTTCATAAATTTCCTCTTTGTCTTCATCTTCAGAACTTCCTGAATGCTCTAGATCTTCCAGAAGTAATCTTTCTTCAATACTTTCTTTTTCATTAATTTTATCAACTGGATCATTCTGTGCTTCATGTTCATCCTTCGTAGAATTTGTTATATTTTTATTAGACAAATCCTTTCTCTTATTATTCATACTTTTACTTTTTTCTCTTAAAACATTCTTTTTTTGCTCATATTGAATAATATTATTTAATTTTGTTTGTAATGCTTGCTTTTTATTATTTAATTCTATTTGTTGAGTTTGTACAGAAAACCAATTATCAGAAGAGTTAGTATATTGTTTGATTTGTTCATCAAGTTCAAAAATTGCAGTTGTCAATTGATTCTTTTGCAATTCTTCGTAATCAAGTAACCACTTTAATGCACCACAAATAATTGACATAGATTTACCAGTGCCAGTTGGACTTTCAAAGATTCCTAATTGAGCATTTTCCAAACATTTATACAATTCTTTCATAAATTGAGTTTGTATTGGATATGGTGGGAAAGGAAAAGGAAATTCCTCAACAGTTTCCATATTAATAATTCAAAACTATATTGTAGTATTATTCTATAACAAATTAATATAACAATATCTTCTATTAAAATACTACTTATGTTTGATAAACGAAGAATTAAATGGACGCTGCTTTTTTTACAACTTAAGTTAACTAAAATACAGTAAAATAGTAATAAGAGCAAATAAAACTGTCGCACGTTGTTACCCTTTTTGTCTACGGCGCGTATGTGTCTGTCTTGTCGCGCGCTCCTTGTCTAATGACGCTAGACAAGGAAAGCAATAGTGTGCGACAAGGACATCCTTCGATCTATTGAAAAAAAATTCAACTATTTACACATACGTTTTTCTAGGACAAAACACACATAGAAAGAAAGCAGGGAGTCTAATTTTACGGAGGTATATAAAAAAGTTCGCAAATTATTCCTCTTAATTAGGTTTTTTTCGTAATTAGTGCGAACTGTCACAAAATGAACATGGTGGCGACATCTAGCGGTATCTCAGTGGTACTAATTATCTATAAAAATACTTATTTCTGCATTTTCATTTGCGAAAAAAGCAAGAAATTTTCATTTGCGAAAAAACCTAATTTAGCGAAATGGATTGTGAATTTTGGCGATTGCATTACCCTAATTAGACCCTTAGCTTTCTTTTCATACCCCATTTGACCCGTAAAATGCAAAAATAAGTTTTTTTATAAATAATTAGTACCACTGAGTTACCGATAGATGGCGCCACCATTTCCATTTTTGTGACAGTTCGCATTAATTAAGAGGAATAATTTGCGAACTTTTTTATATGCCTCCGTAAAATTAAACTCCCTGCTTTTTTTTCTATGTGTGTTTTGTCCTAGAAAAACGTGTATGTAAATAGTTGAATTTTTTTTTCAATAGATCGGAGGACGTCCTTGTCACACACTATTGCTTTCCTTGTCTAGCGTCACTAGACAAGGAGGGCACTAGCGTGCGACAAGCAGCATATACGCGCCATAGACAAAGAGGGTAACAGCGTGCGATAAGGACAAAAATATAAATTAGTTCCGACACCTATCCTAGGGGTGATCCACACGGTTCATGCTTAATTAAGTACTATCATAGAATTTATATGTGTACATCCATCCATAAATATATGCACATGACATGCTTTCAAATCGAATTGATAAGACTGCTATGAAGTAAGTTAATGTTGACAGAGGAATCAAACTTCGCGCGTATATAAAATTTATGAATACTGATGATAATTCACGTGCACATTTAAAATCATAAACAACAAAAATATAACTTTAACAAAATATATAATGTGATTTGGTAAATATATAATGCATAAAATTATTATAGGAAATATTTTAAAAGATTTCAAATTTTTAGGTTACCAGAAATAGCATCACTACAGAATGATCCAGTATTGATTAGTTTGAGTAAGCAGATATTGTCTGCGGAATAAAATCACGTGTTTAATAAAAGGAAAAAGATATTAAAAATGATTATCCGAAAAAGAATTTGGCCTCGCACGTTAAGTGATTTCTTTTCTATGACTTTTATATTAACAATTATACCAGTAATATATTGGTTTGAATTGTGGGTGGTTTTGCCGGCAATGCACGAATATGGGTCATTGCCATATATTTTTCATTTTTTTTTTGGAAATTTTATTATGTTAAATATAGTTGGAAACTTCACTTATATAGTATTTTGTGATACTAGTACTAGAAGAGATATTATGTCAATAAGTGCTGCAAATACTAAAGATGGTTGGAGATTATGTGCTTCATGTGAAACTCTTGCACCTCCACGTTCATGGCACTGCTCTACATGTAATATTTGTATTTTAAAGAGGGATCATCATTGTATTTTTACTGGATGTTGTATTGGTCATTATAATCATAGATACTTTATCATGTTTCTGGTATATTTATTTGTAGCAACAACATATAGCTTTTGTCATAACAATTTTTTTATTTGGAATAGGATGCATTTTGAATTTCCTATGTCGCTTATTAAAATCATCTTTCCTTTAGCAATTTTTATTTTTGGATTTGATGATTCTATAAATCAGTTTTATCTCATACTATATATTGTATCTGTGGTAGGAATGTTGTATACAGGAGTTTTGTGTATTTATCACTTTTGTTTAGTGTTTAATGGTAATGTAGCTAATGAGAATAATAAGAAAATACATATATATAATTTAGGTTGGAAACAAAATTTAAAAGAAGTATTAGGTGATCGATGGTACCTTACATGGATACTTCCTTATATAAAATCTCAACTACCCCATAATGGAGTAATATGGGATACATCAAATTCATGGTTATATACAAACTCCAAAAGTAAATAAATTTATTAAACTGTTTACTGTATTATGTATATTACAAAGTATGTATTTTTTATTCAATTGATGTAATACATTTAAAAGTATAGTATTAAAATAGATTAAAAATCAGATTACAATTGTTTACAAATACATGAACTTATATACATAAAATCATTTTTATTGGATAACTTATAAAAATTAGAGAAGATATTACAATGCATGTTCTTCAACAAAATAGTAAAAGAGTTTGATTTTAATATTTACACTTAAAAAATTTAATTCAGTTTATAAAATATTTGTCTGAGGATTGTCGGTCTTATATACATAAAAATTTAATCATTGTAATAATTTATATTAAATACAATGTAATTGTACATTGATAAGACTAGTTTTTTGTTATTATATGTATTAGTTCATTAGTTATCATATGGTGTTATATACTGAACTTAAATATTTTTTACTACATATTTTCATTTTAATATAATAGTGCTAAATGTACAATTATATTTGTATTGAAACTATATAAACTATAACTTATATTTGTCTTAAAACTTTATATTTGACACAATTGATGTCTCATGACAAAAAAAGAATATATCTAATCTAATTATAAAATTTTATACATTAAGATTACATAATTATCGGGATGTTTTTCTCATTCTTACATAATCTCATATATTAAATTCGTAATAAATAAAAATAAATATATAATATACTTCGATTTTAGTTAATATCATTTGAAAGAGTAATTAAAACTTTATACCTATTAATGTTCTTGTAAAAAAACTGTAAGATTCGAAACAATATATGTACACTATATTTATAAATATAATTATATTTTCACAATTTTATTAATTTTTTAAAAATGATTTCTTTTTCAAATTTTATATTTCTCTATTAACAAAAATAAAAATTACATTTTGCAAGTAAACTGACGTAATGTCGTTTTCTGTAAGTTCTTTTGACTGCAAATTTTATACAAACTAATATAAGTATGATAGCAGATGCAACATATAATACAACACAAATGCTTATATCAAAAATTGTAAAATCCCATCCAGTTTTCTTATTATTTGTATATTTATTTAATACTAGTCTTTCTTGTCTTATTTTTAGTTTATTACTATTATTACCATTATTATACTTATGTGTTTTGACTGAATCATGATAATTTATTCCTGTATAACTATACTTTGTTTTAAGATAAACTAGAACATTTTCTTCATTCCAAGTACCATTTTCATATCTACAATTTGGGCAATGTTCAGCTGCTGGATATTGAATTTTTTTATGTTTTGGATCTTCTGTATCATCACCTGATAGTCTTGCATTTACTTCATTATGAGCTGACCATAACCACAAAATGCTGTCATTAGCATTAGTTATATCAAACATTTTGTTTTTTGCAGCCATTTGAACAAAATGTTGAGCGCAATCAGCACATCCAAAAAAGTTTTCTATGTATCCATGCATTGTTTCTAATATTTTTCTTGGTTCATGTTCAGCATTTTTATTTAGAATAGCAAAATTAACTGTCAACATATGAAACATTGTCCAAAGGCCACAGGGATACCCACGATATCTTTCTTTACTTCCTTTACATCCAATCCACTTTGAAGGTCCAGAGTATACAGGTGACATTTCTTCTTCTATAGATTTTATTATTTGACTAAATTCCTCCCCAGATATATTATTTCTTTTTTTAATAATATCTCTAGTGGTTTCTAGAAAAATGTTACCATATCTCAGAGGAAAATATTCAGTCAAAACATTTAAATATTTTTTCAACGTATCCATTTTTTTATCTTTTATTATTTTATGTAATGGAATTTCATGAGAGATTGAATATTTTAATGCATTTTCTAAATCAAGTTGATATAAATAATCTCCACTTATCTCTATATTTTCTAGCTGCTCTGTTGCCTGTAGTTGTTTTGGAGTATTAATACTTAACTTATGATTTTCAATCTTTATTGAATGATTCTTAATAGAATTTTGTTCGTGAATAGTTTCTCCTTTTGAAATCAGAAATTCTTTAATGGTATTGAAAACACCTTCTCTTGTAGGTATTCTAATTTTAAGAAAAGTTTGTGTCTCATTGCGACCTAAAACTATCAAACTTGGAAAATTTGTGATTTTGTTTGTCTCACATAATAATTCATTGTCAGATAATACTCTTCTTATTTGTAATATTGTAATTTTGTGCATATCTAATATAACTTCAGCGCCCAAATGTGAATCTGTTCTCTCAAACAATAGGAAAACATATTTTACATTATTTGGTGTAGCTTTCCAAATATTTGTTGTTTCATAATTTCTATAATATTAAAACAAATAATTAGTTCCTATTATTTAGAAAAATAACTATAAAATTGTAAAAAATATAAATTAATATACCTATATGGCGCTATATTAGGCCATGAAATACCTCTTCCTTCTTGTTGTTCTCTTTCCAACAAATCTATTAAACTATGTCTAAGTTCATTAATATCATCATATTTTTCCATCAATAATCCCAATGATGGTGGATGTGCATTTATAGAAAAGTATTTAAGCATTGGATAGTGCATAATTTCATACTCGCGACAGATTGGATTGTTATCATCATCAGCACAATCTATTACAGCAACTACTACAATATCTCTCCATGCTAAAAATATTATTGAAATAAATTATTTATATGATATGATTACTCTCATATATAACATACATTTAAAGATATTAGATAAAAGTGTTTGGATTTTGTAAAAGTTTCTTAAAGACATACTTGCTTAATAACAATAAAGATAAATTTATGATCGCATATATTTCTTTAATAATGTTACATTTCTTAATATACAGTAAATATTGTAAAAAAATGGTATGTTTTAGAAATTATATTAAATAAGACGTGCCCATGAATAAACAAGTGATATATTTTTAATATAAATTATTGATTATTCTATAATGATTAAAATTTACTTACCATAAATATCATTAGCGAATTCTTTCCATACCGGTGCAAATCGAAGACAATAACCGCACCAACTATTGTAAAATTCAACTAACCAACCTTTTGTATCTTCGTAGACGGATGATTTAAAATTAGTGACGTTTAAAATAACAACATTATCACTAGCATTATACAATCCCTGTACAGGTATTTGACTCTGATATGATTCTTTTGGTATGGCAGCATTACAATACACTGTTATTATACTGATTAACCATAATTTCCACAACAAACCAACATCAAAACGATCCATGTTTTCTTTTCTTAGATCGTACCTCTGTCCATACAGGTATGCAACTTTATGCTTTTATCGAGGCGCTTTATATATATATATATATATGAGATTTCTCGCACGTTTCCATGAAAAATATTACATTCTTATATATAGTACAACATGGACATATAACAAATATTAATATAATTTTTATTTTTGTAGAAATTAAATTTGTAAATACAATATTAATTTAATAGAAATTTTCTTTTAAATTGGCAAATTTTTAAAAAATTATGCATAGATATCTTTGCATAACTTACTTATATATAGCTCATATTAATATCAAATAATGGTTATAAGGTATTTAAAAATTTTAATTATTGATGTAAAATTTAAACGTGTCAATATTTCCTAATTTATCATACTTTGTAATTTTTATTTTTTTCAAACCTTAAATTTATATTTATTCAATTACTATTTATAAAATTAAGACAAATAAAAAAGATTTTTATGTATCATTCATTATAACTTTTTATAGATTTTGAAATAAATGTTACAAATAATTATTTATATTAAAAAACACTGTTTATTAGCCGTTTCAATTTGAATTGCCGCTGCTTATTCCTATACAAAATGAAAACAATAGGATGTCACTCTTAAGGATAAATAGGAGGTTTCAGGATGGTGGAGGGAATAAGGGCGAAGGTATGTATGTTTATTTATTATATAACACCTATTTACGGATATATTATTTAACCAAATCAACTGATAAAGAATATGATCGGTATAAACCTTGGAGCAGCTTACGCTCTTCCCTACTCATAAAAGATTTCGATGCTTCTTGAATATTTTCTGAAACGTTCGACCAGTTTCACCCCCAACCATTGGCTTGTCCAGGTCGGGGGCCTGATGATCAACGATTTCTTACTGTCTTCAGGCTTGCAGTTCTTCTAGGCTTGAGACTTCTCAGCCGGTAAGGAATGCGATTCGGATCATATTCTTTGTCACAAGCGCGAAAAACCTTCGGATCTTCAAAATTCGAGCAAGACAAACATCTTGAGATATCTTGTCTTCAACTTTTCAAAACTTTCATTTTTTCAGTGAAACTTCAAACTTCCCTCTATCATCCAATACCTCTTGATTCAAAACCTTATAAACAAACAAACAGGTTAGAGAACTTAGTTCTATTTTTAATTTTATTTTTGTTTTGTTTCATTCTTTTCTGTATGTTTCGGTCTTTCCGTTTTTTCTTTTTCATATAAACATTCAAGAATACCATATTTTTCCGGATTTATAACACGTTTTACCAAAATTATATTTAAAATCAGAATGGCTGGAATATAATTTTTAAGCAAATAATTAAAGTTAAAGAAAAATGGAAACTTATTATTATATTCCAACCTTCACATATTAGCATCACCATTATTACAATATGTAAACCTTATCTTCATAAAAACTCCTAAGAAAGTAATAGAAATATTATGAAAATAAGGTTTTTGCGTCCATTCTAACCTTACTGTTTCATGCAAAGAATATACTACACTCCTTTGCATATTAAATTCTCATTAATTGATATTGTACAATATCGTAATTTAAATGCCGTATATTAATTGCATATAATGCAGAACTAGGTAAGGTAAGAATAGTAATAAAAGAATGTAGCGTTTGCATTTTTTGACCCGGTACAGTATTGTTAGAAGAAATTTGAGGTCAAAGGGTCAAGTCACACAAATGGTCTCCCAAACACCTGGCCTCTCGCATCACACTCGTGTCACTTAATATCGACCTGAAATTCATTAAGCAACAAAAACTATGATTGTTTGACCCATCTTACGGGTTACACTTAGTTACTACCGTACGATTTATTGGATGCATTCCTTGATGCTCCTGTCTTCCATTCTTGCTAATTTAACTACTTATTTGTACTTAAACATCTTCCTTGAAGTAAATATAAGCGGTCTACGAAAATATGAATCTAAATTAAGAACCTTTGTTATAAGTGAATGGTTATGCAAATTTCAAATTTACTTATAATTGTGTTTATGTATTGTTATGTTTTATACATATATTTTTATTTAAAGAAGAAAATTAATGTGTGTGAAAACACTTCATAACACAGTAAATTTGATTGCACATTTAATTTTTAAAACACTCTAATTTTTTGAATATTAATAGTTCTAGAAGTTATCTAATATTAAAATAAATTAAACAAAACTGAAAGAAGAAATATAAGTAAAATATTAAGTTTCATACAAATAAATATTTTTAATTCTTTGTTTAAAATCTTGTGAAAATTAAGATTAAATTCTATATTATATATTGGTTGACATTCATTTAATGTTGTTAATCTCTTATATGAATAGGTTTAAAACATTTTTTTATTTCAATATATTTTCAAGTTCATAAAAAGCAGATATCGGCGAATTATACAATATCAAATCAATGAGTTTTGTTTTTTTATATCTAAATATTTAATTGATTAAATACTATATAAATGTATGTAAAGGAGACACATATCCATGTAGACTGCTTATATTAGGTTATGTGGCAGAATAAAAAATAAACTTACGTGGCGAATAAGAACGTGATCGAGATCTATCGTAGCGTGAACGGCGGCGATTGTAATACGGGCTGGGTGAACGTCGATAGCTTCCTCTGTAGCTACTGCTTAGTAAATATAAAATTAATTGTTTCCGTTTTCTTTTTTACAAATTTTTGGAAGTTACATCTTTGATGAAAAAAAAACTCACTCTCGTCTTCTGGGTCCATCCCATCCTCTATCATGTAGATGTGTAGGTTTTCCCATGTAAATTCCTGGAGTTGGTGTATGAGCTCGTTGTGTTATTGAAAAATCTACCCTTATTCTTCGACCATCGATATCCATTCCTGTACACTGTTCTTTTGCTACCTTAGCATCTTCAGATGATTCAAAATATACAAAACAGAATCCTCTGGATCTTCCAGTCTAAAATATAATTTATATATCAATTCGTGTTTTTAATAAAAATATGTAATGTAAATATATACAAAATTTTATATCATTTTTTAAGTAAAATAAAATGTGACCAGAGGCCTTTAACGTTTTACACAAACTTAATGTATGAACATTCTAAATCTCTGGTATAATTTATTATTCCCCTCCTTTTTTTAGTTGCGGGGTTGTATATGTATATCAATTAATATGCAAATATATTGTAGTTTATAACATATTAGCACACAAGTACCTTTGCGTCAATTACAACTTGTACACGTTCAACAGGTCCATATTTAGAAAAAATGTGATGTATTTGTTGCTCTGTTGTAAAAATGGAAAGTCCAAACACACCTAAACATCTCGAAGGACATGGATTGTCTCTGTTTCCAACATGACGTCGTCTAGATGACATTGGACTACGTGAGTGTGAACGATAAATGTTTCTATCATGTTCGCGAGAATAACGGGAACGAGAATATGATCGAGATCTGCTTCGAGAATATCGCCCACCCCTATACGGAGAACGACTACGACTGCGACTACTACCACGATGACCTGCACTAGCATATTTGCTGCTGCGATAAGATTTTCTTCCCCTTGACACTGAGCGACTTCGTGATCTTGAATATTCTTTTACTGGTCGGTGGGATTCTTTACGTTCTCTTGATTTACGTGATCTTGAATGTGAACGTGAATCTCTTAACCCTCCATCTGCTGTTCTTGGTCTTCTAGGACTTGCACTACGACTACCACTTCGCTAAAAAAGATCATAATTTTAGCGTTTTGTAATTACTTTGATTTATTTATACTTTTTTCCCTATTCAAGAACAACAAAAACTCGTATAATTAAATTATACTATTCTTCAAATTTTAGTATTTCTAATAATCACAAAGATTCACAAGTTTAACCTTTTAAATTATACTAAAAACAGAATTACAGCAAATTAGTTAGGATAACAAATACATGTTGTAAAAAGTATAAAAATTAGTAATTTCAAAAAATTTTGTAAATTCTTAAATGTTTGAAAGTAAAATAAAGATATTATAATCTTAACATAAACGTGAAACATATTTGAATACTGATGGATCGATAATGGCTGTAATCAGCCGCATGTCGTTATGATCACAATATCTAAAATTATGTGTAAAATTGTTATTTAAAGAAGAAAAATGTAAAATTTACCTCAATATCACTCATTGTGGAACTTCAACTATGTATAAATGAGATAAATGTAGCAAAAACTGAACAAAATGTTTGGAATAATACGCCGTAGCGTCAGTTCTCAATAATGGCGGACAATCTTTACTGTTTCAGCGGGTAACAACCGGAAATGATGATTCCAGGTGATACACAAATGCGAAACATACCAACATCCGGTGTTGCCAAGAAACGATAGTAAAAATTGAAAATGGCGACGTATTTCTCAAAGTGGCGCCAATTTGAATATACATAGTAAATTGTATAATGCTCAAATTCTTGTTGACTAAACAAAATTTACCAAACATGTAAACAATGATTTACAATAACATTTGATTTAAAGTTCAAGTCGTTTTCATTAAAATTCATATATAGTATCAGTAAAATGCACAAACATATATGAAAATAATATATTTTTATTACATATGTTTGTGTTTGGTAAGCTTTAAATTAAGGGAAGTTGAACATTTACAAACGGACATTTTGGGAAAGAAATAGTAATATTTTTTAAAATATTATACTTGATATATTGAATATATCTCTTTTCATATACGTTTTCCAGTTGTGTCAAATATTACATTATATGATCAAAAGAAATGTTGAGCATTTATACATTTTAAGTAAAATGTTTACTTGTATTTTATTTTAAAAATATAATAAAATTTGTTTCTGTAAAACCGCCACTAATGCACTTGCGCAGAAAGATGCGCGTGTTTCCTGCGTCTATAAAAACTGTTCAGATCGTATACTGCGGCAGAATCAGGAACGAGGAAGATTCTCCGGTAGTCAGTAAACCATTTTTCTGTCGTCAAACGGATCAAGCTTTTTGTGAGACTTGGATCGGTCACAAAAAGCGGGATTCGCTTTTCGCATAGGAATTGGCCTGTTGGGGAGCCAGTTAATATATATAGAACGTTTAAAAATTGTGAGTAAAGATAGTGACTTTCTAGATTTTGTGTAACGAACAATACTATGACCGGTTGCTCTATGCACTTTTTTATCATCGTTTTAAATAGAACTTTGTCAGTAGTGTAGCTCGTTATTGGCCCCGTTCTTGGTGAAATCAAATTCGCAATAAAGCTTAATCTTTGTATTTCGTTATTGAATTTTCTGTGCTTTACATATTAGAATTAATCAATGAATTTTATAACAATCATGGCCGCCAGCCGGTTTTCCTACTGTTTTATACTGCATAGATATGCTCGTTATTAAATACTTTACTAAAAAATTCGAATGGTTTCACATGTTACAATAATTTATTATTTTATTTTTGGTGGTTGTAAAGTTACGGGAACATTATGTAAAATAAATAAAAAGTATACATTAATATGATGTGATATATCATAAGAAAAACTTTACTTATTCAGAAGAGTTTTTTATGTTGTAATTTTAAAATAAACATTATTCGAACATGATTTGAACATTAGTAAATAAAAATAGTTTAGAAAAGTTTATATCTCGCATCTTTTAATAATCTTTTAAAAATCTGATTGTTTACTTGATAATATGAAATTTGTAATTTAAAATTTAATGAAATGACAATAAGCAAATAATTTTTAGAAGAGAACATATAGTTGAATTAACAATTTTATATCCAGTGATATAATGTGTTATAGATTAAATATATGGTTTGATCACCGATTAAATTTTTTAAATCAAACTTTCATTAAAAAGTTATATAGTTACAAAAATTTATTTTATTTCATAGATTGCAAAAATGGAGGAAATGCATCAACCACAACAGGTTGGGCCTAATATGATGGCCAATGTAGGTGGGGTTCCTAATCACTCAAATAATGTTAATCGGCGTAACAGAGTTCGGTCATCATTACACAGTTTGATGATAGGAAAACGTCCAATAAGTGAGGCCGCTCAATTGGAGATGAAATCTTTGTCCAACAAAACACCAGTTTCTATTCTTCAGGAATTGCTTTCTCGTAGGGGCACAACACCAAAGTATGAATTAATACAAGTAGAGGGTGCTATCCATGAGCCTATTTTTCGTTATCGTGTCACTGTTGCTGATGTTGTTGGTTTGTATCTAATTTTGATACATGTATTTTTTTATAATTTAGTTTACTAAACTTTTAGTTTAATTGAAACTTGCATTGCAATATCTATCTTTATTTGATGATTTTGACTGTGATTTTGTGAATTAAATTTGTAGTTTCAATGGGAGTTAATCTATTTGATCTTTCTTTTCTTCTTTTTGTAAATTTTTTTAATAAAAATCATCATTGAGCAAAAATATTAACTGATAAGTGTCTGATGATTGAAGTAGATCCAATTGTTTCAGCAATGGGGACTGGGAAGTCAAAGAAAGAAGCAAAACATGCTGCTGCAAGAGCTGTATTGGATAAACTATGTAGACTAAATAGTGAAACACCAGATTCTCCACTTCCAAATAATCTGCCAGAGTAAAATATTAATAAACATATCTATGTATCTTATTTTTCATATATATATGTATATATATATTTAATTTATCTTATTTTGTGTATAGTTCTGAAAATATGCAAGAACTATCTGGATATGGAGAAGAAAAAATAATTACAAATCCAATTGGAGCATTACAAGAAATGTGCATGTCACGTCATTGGCCTCCGCCAAAATATACAATAGAAAATGAGGAGGGCTTGCCACATGAAAGGCAATTCACAATTGTTTGTTCTGTTTTAAAATATCGAGAAGTTGGCCAAGGAAAAAGTAAGAAAGTTGCAAAAAGACATGCAGCTCATAAAATGTGGCAAGCTTTACATTATTTGACAGAAAACCCTAATATAGATGAAGATGAGGTAAGAATATTTTATTTATTTATGTATAATTAAATATCTAAAATTAAATGTGATTTTGAATATTTTTTACATATTTGATATGATGAAATGATATTAATATATTTATGTAAGTTGTGTATTTGAATGTATGTGAATTGTTTTTGTTGTGTATGTGTGTGTATGCTTAGTGAAGTGGAAGTGATTTGGCATTGGAAGCAGTATTATGAAATATGAGCTACCTTTCCGATCATTCTGAATCTATAACGGATAATAAAACTTTAATTATATGTAATTTATGAGTCATTTACTCAACAGCATATATTTTCAACAATAACATGTTTGGATCATTTCCACTTCATTTTACTCTGCATACAGTCAGTCATTGGTCCAATGATAAGTATTTAGATAAATACATATATTAATTGTCCGTTATAGGTTTTACAAAGAAATGCAAATGTGAGTGCCCGATATGCTGATTTGAAAGGTAGCAAAATTTCAACTCTAACAACTATTCATAGCCTTAAGGTTTCACAATTTCATAAAAGTCTGAAGTCATCCACTGGTGTTAAACTTTTTGAATTACAGGTTTGTAATATAATCAATTGGAACACATTATTTTTACTCTGCTTCAAAGCAGATATGAAAATAAATTAAACATTTTAACTTTTTTAAATTTATTGCATTATTTCTTTTTGTTATAGAATACATGTTTGAATGATGGGGATGTAAATTTGGTACAGTTTTTGCAAGAAATTGCCTCAGAGCAGCAATTTGAAGTAACTTATGTTGATATTGAAGAAAGGTCTATCAGTGGTAAGTTATTCATTTTTTTGTATTCATTTATTTGTAAATTTCATCATACACAAGTTATATTAATTAATGTATTTTTATATTTAAATTATTTATTAAAAATTATTTATTAAAAATATATTTAAGTTAAAACCATTAATAAAAAACAAATTTTTTTCATAATAAATTATTTTTCTGTAAGTACAAGATCCAAAATCACATCATTTTCAGATGTAGGAATATCTTCCCATAATTGTTCATTAAATGCCACTGCAATTAAATGTGGTCTTTTTTGTTGTGTTTTTATACATAAATCCAAAAATTTGTCATAATAACCCATCCCATGTCCCAAGCGTTTTCCTAATTAGTAATACATATAGTTTTAAAAAATTATAATTGTTTTTAAAATAATTTATATAACTTAAATTTTACTTACCATTGGCAGTAAATGCAACACCTGGTAAAATTATTAAATCTAAGCCACCTGAAATACATATAATTTTGTAAAATATTAATTTTTATATTTTATTAAATTTAATGAAGAGTTTAGATATTAAAACATGAATAATATAATAATTGAGAATATAATTATATAATTAATTATTTATTTTACCAGTTTCTAATGCATTTTCTCTAAGTTCATTAACATTTGGTTGTTTAATATTCCACTTGGTTAATGGTAGTGTTTCATAATCTTGCATTGAAAGTAGTTTAATCATTTCCATTTCTTTTCCTTTATATCTAGGAACAAACACTTCCTTTTTTTTGTCAAATATATATTTTAACATTTGAATTGTATCAATTTCATCTTTTGTACTTAGATACAAAGAAATTCTTTTACTTTCTTGAAACTGTGGTAAAGAACATAGCTATATACATAGAAATATGTTAGAAATAGTTTTAGATAAAGATGTAACATAACCTCTTCTGTAAACTGATATACTTATTTTAATATAATTACCTTTTTAAATACTATCCTTGATTGTCTTTGTTTTTCTTCAGTACTAAGTTGTAAAATGATATCTTTCATTTCTTTACGTAAAGCACTTTTAGCAGATTTTACTCCAGCCATATTCTTACACGTATTGATGTCTTACATAAAAGGAACTCTATAAAAACATATATATGACCTATGACATATTATCATAGTTGATGTATCATCATATGACCTATTACATATTATCTATATTATATATTGTTAATTATATATTGTTACATATTGTTTACTGTATTATTGTTTATTTTAAATAGTCTATAAATATTTAATTATATAATTATATTCTCAATTATTATATTTATTTTAAATAGTCTTTTATTTTATTTAATTTTTTTGAATTTACTATCTTTACATATTAGTTTTACTATATCTAAGTTGGAAGTTCTGATACTTGTATTGCAGTTTTTATATTGTTTATTATAATTAAATTATTAATGACATGAAAATAGATATAAATTGGATTAAATAAATGTTAGCTTCATTGTTACAGGTAAATGCCAGTGCCTTGTACAGCTGTCTACCTTGCCAGTGGCAGTTTGCTATGGTTGTGGTGTTACTAGTAAAGATGCTCAAGCTAGTGCTGCTCAAAACGCTCTGGAATATCTTAAAATCATGACCAAAAAGTGAGCCAGCGCTTTGCTCCTGCCAGATGTCACTATCAATTGCAAATCTCATAATAATTTGTTGTCCAAAAATCAAAATAACAGTACAGATTCCAAAATTTTATCAAACAATCAAGTAGATAAAGGTAAAAATAGTCAAAAACTTGATCATGTGGGGAATAAAAGTAGGTTGTCAAAACCATCTGTCAGAGTAGTAAACACTGCAATGGGGAATAAAGACGCTACATTAAGTACAATCACAACATCAACTGTTACAGTTTCTTCAAATAGGATGAATTCATCTATAAAAAAAAACAATAGAAATAATGAGAATTTAAAATCTACCGAACAACTAACGAAGAATGCGTCAATCGTGACCACAAATCAATCTAATTCTACGTATAGTAATGTAAGAGGTGGTACTGCAGCATGTGTTGGTATTAGTGTTTCTCACGAAAGTACATCTAAGTCTAAGGACTATTCTGCTAAAAAGTTTCCCAGTGAAATTGATTCGAAAATGAAGAACTATCAAATACAATCTGAGTACAAAGAGTCATCTGTAAACAATCAGGATTATAAGTCAAGAAATAACGCAACTATGAACAATTTATCATCGAGATTTGTAAATCAGTCATCCATTCAAGGTTTGCACAGGGAAAATCATGGAACATCTTCCAATACACATCAATCTCGGCCAGCGTCACGAAACGATAATACCGCATTTGCCGTGGCTAGGAAAGCTTTAGAACAACAGAATTCTGCGTCGAAGATGACACCGATCAATTTTCCACCATTGCGCGCTCCACAGAGTATTGTGAATGTTCGCCATCCTTTTGTTACAGAAGCAAGAACCAAGCATAATGATATTGGAGGTTCAAATTCTAAATCGAAATTGAATGTAGCAAGTTCTCTACAAAGTGGGGTGAAAGATCTTGATCATAGCAGGCAAACTTTCCACAGTTATGGCACATCACAAATCGCTGGTATTCCAAATGTTCAAAATTTAAGCAATGTCACGGCAAATATGTCACCTTATCCTAGACCAGAAAGTTTCCCTCAACCAACCGTTGCAAGTGTGCTATTTCCTGACACTTCTCAATTTCCTCAATCACCTCCATTCAGTACAACGCAAATTGGACAACTGAATCAGTATCAAACTTATGATCCTAGTAGTTTTGCAACTACACCAGTGAATGTAAACCCAGTAATTCCTCAGTTCTCTGCAGAAAGTTCTATTCCATATCCGCAGTATGATAATCCTCCTCAATTCGTGCAACCTAATCATTATCCGACAGCGGATATAGCGAACAGTCAGTATCAATATCAGGCGAGCGTGGGACAACTACAAGAGTCACCAATGTTCATTCAAAGCTTGCAAAGTCCTATCGCCGTAACGGATCAATATGCTGCTCCAAATTATGCTAGAACAGTTAGAGCAGAATTGATACCACGATTGAGGAGACCGCCAAGATTTAACAAGTAAAAATGATTTTTTTATACATATACATATACATATTCTCGAATAAAAGTTTGTAACCGCAAATAGAGGAAGAAAAACAAACAAACTGAAATGATAACGGGATGAATTCATGGAATCGTATTATTATCTTTCAATAAAAATGAAGAACATTCATGTGTACCTTGCGTGCAAAAATAATCGACAAATTTGCCAATCTATCTGGTTGAGCTATCGATATATTACATGGAGGAGATTTGGTAAAAATTATTTCAATTTTTGATCCATTTTGAAATAAATTTTAACCAGTCTGTGCGATCGATACGCGCATGGGAGTGATAACTAGTATTTTGGCAAAATTGCACGAGGTACACGGTTAACGATCGTTAATAATCATTTGAAGAAATTCTCTCTGAAATGCTTTTACGTATATATATATATATATATATATATATATATATATATATATATATACGTATGTGTGCGCGCGCGTGTGCGCGCGTGTGTGTGTGTGTGTGTGTGTGTACAAAGAAGAAACTTATTACGCAGAGAAGAGAAAAAAAATCATTTTAACTTGTTTCCATCATTTAATGTGACATGGCAGGGCATAGTAAGTTGAGCTCGACTATAATTTTATGACATAATTTATCTAATATCATTGAAATTCGAGAGAGAGAAAAAGAGAAAGGGAAAAAAGAAGAAAGGCAGAGAGAAAAGTTGCAACCAAGTTGTTAAATTGTATATAAATTATATATAACTAACGATAAGAATAGTTTCATTTCTATAAATATATATAGTATTTGCGAAGATGTGGTTCTGGACAAATTTGTTTTCGGTCAATCACAGAAAGCAAATTTGTTGATAAATGGAACAGAATTCATAACCATATTGCGCATGAAAAATCCATAGAATAAAAGAAAGATTTATGAAATAAAAAGGAAAAAGTAAAAGAAAAGAAGCAGCTGAATTATAATTGTAATAACGATAAGTCCTAGTTTTAATGAATGGTATCCTACAAGCTATACTTTGCATAGAATTAGTGGAAGTTTTCCAATATTTGCATATTACTTAGCTTACTGCTATGTTTTTCATGTGCTTCACTATTTATATATGGAATGGTGGTGTAACGATGTTCATTGCAATGCAATTACAAGAACGATTCGTTTGTAAGAAGGAAAAATAAGTGAAAAGTAATTTGCTTAATTTGAGCATCGTATCTCCACCGAACGTATGCACAGTGCAAACGTAGCTTTCAGCGATCCGAATATAACGAGGGTGATCGCGATAAAGTAACAATATAATCTTTCAGTGGTGTATGTTTTTCCTTTAGTATGGTAGCTCATAAACTCATAAGCATCACATATTAATACGCGTAAGATTAATCGTTAAGGGAAATCCTCATTAAGTACGCATCTCGTATTAAACGAAACTATATACTCGTGTGTATTGAATTTTTAAATTGCCTATGTGCGTTAAAGTCACTGGATAAGACATTTATACTAAATGAAAAAAAGAATAATATTGCATATGGATGTATATACCGTCAAGAGGATACGATTATGAATCAAAAAGAAAAACGAAAGAAGACGAAAAAAAAACGATACTAAGACTTGAAGAAAGAAAACGAAATAGAAAAAAAATTGCAGACGTATTGCGCAACAATGCATTTTTTAACCGTGGGTCATCATACAGTTTACGAATAACATGGATTATGAAAAGAAGTATTCCTTTCGCAATGAATCAAGAGAATAAATGCGAGAAAATGTTCGTTGTAACATCGATCGACGGACACTGCGAATTTTTATCTTGCGTTTAATTATTGCGTAAGGATTTCTGTGTGCATACGCAATTTCGTTCAGCAATGTTTTTAATCCTCGTTTATTTACAACAAATGAATGGTAATGAATCTTATTAATTACCAATGGATTAATATTGATGTTAGATATTAAATACAGATAAATTTTATTTATGTCTTAAAAGTTTAGGAATGAAAACAAATTTATCCATATACTATATTATTTTTTTGTATTTTATATCGGAAAGATTATGGTCATCGATATTATTATAATAATTGTTATTAATAATTTACAAAATAGTATGCCATTAAGATTGAAAAAATGGATGTAAAATGTGAGACGTTCAACATGAAAAATTTCATGTATGAAATAGTGTATGCATACTGTATTAATCATCGACTCGATATAGCGATGTAATAACAAGCCGATGGATACTCGCGCATAACTGCGATACCTTGCCCACGCATTCGACGTATATCGATAGTACAAAAAGTTCATTTTCTGTAAAACTAAATCGCATCGCGGGCCTCGGTATTATGGGAATGCGTAGAATTGAGTGGAAGAGAGAGCGAGAGAGTGAATGAGCGAGCGCGCTGGAGAGAGAGAGAGAGAGAGAACGAGAGCGCGAAAGCGAAAGCGCAATAAATAGAAAAAGTGAATGAATGAGGAAAAAGATAATGTGCCTCGACATGAGTATTCGGAGGAGATAGAGGAAAATTAACGAAATTACCCTAAGCTGATGCCTCAAGTGTCGCGACATAATTTTCTGGTCGGAGCATATTTCATACATTTGGAAAATAGGCATTACTTACATGCAAAGTATAGAATGTGTACGCGTATAAACGGAAGTAAATTGCTAGGTTGATACCGCAATCAGTTATTTCTATACAAAAAACGATAAAAAAATGAGAGAAAGCTAGAAAAGCGTTGTAAAATGATAGAACGCAGCGATTCGATTTGTGGATCGTGATCGTGATACTAGTTAAATTTTTTTCGGACGAATAGTTGTTTACGATCATGATATGAAGCGCTTAATTGTTACTACGGGTAATGCTAATTTTTTTTTTTGTAATTATTATATTTATTTTCTTAGAGTTTATATATGAAATTCAATCGTCTTCTGTTATTAACTATTAAAATTTCTTTTTGTTTTTTTTATTGTTTTTTTTTTTTGTTTTATTTTAAACTATAGAGCGCTGCTTCACATGTTGAGAGTTCGACTTGGTTTCATGTGGAAATTTCACCTGTAAGCAGTTTTCTGTGCCAATAGAGATGAATTCGTTGTGAATTCTAAATTCAAATGGCAAGACGGATATAATACCAAACAAGGTCTTATTGCTGAAAGTCGTTATAGAAAAGTTGTTAAAACTCGCCAATTCGTAAGGGAACATATCAATGTATGATGTAAAATTGGAAGAAAATGGTCTATTGAATATTTACCAGGAAAATCGATTCTTCGATTTGGCGAAATGTTTTGTATGTTTTTGTTTATTAAAGAAATTTCGAATTGACGACGGTACAATCTTCTTTCAGTCTAAATCTTTATTTTTTGAATATTTTTCACATTGTTTTTTCTTTCTTTATTCTTACTGTAGACTTCACAAAGTCGTAATTTATTCTTATTACTTTCTTTATGGGAGGTAACGCATGTATTACGACATAGTATTTTTCACTTATCAAAAAAAGGCGATATAGTAAGATTCTTCAAATTTTACAGTGGTATATGCACCCTTAAAATAAAACAAAAAAAATATTTCTAATTGTAATCGGAACGCCTCGTCGATTTTTCTCGATTTTGCTTTAGCTTCTGTATTGCGAATACTAAGAGAATATCCGAGAGCGTTTAAGATCGAGTCGATCCATCGATCAAAAATTGTTAATCGACACGATTAATTTACTTTAAAAAATTAATCGATTCGATTAACTGCTTCAAAAAATAAAAGAAAAAAAAGCAATGTGTCGATTTATCGTACCTTAACACCACTTAATATTCTTTCGTTTAAAGGGACGATGATTTCGAGCGTAAAAAAATTAACGTGCACTTTGGCTGTCAAACGACGAACCAAAAGCATACTGAAAAAAATATTGCGTTGCATAATGAGACAAAATATAATAGAGAGAGAAAAATAGACTTCCCCTTCTTCGACTACGGGGAAGCACTTCTTCGTGGACCAACCTAGGAACGAGAAAAGAAGACGAGATGTTTTCGATTTGATCCACGAAAATATAGTAATATTTTCTTTTCGTCGTCGATTACATTATTATACCTATATTCGTTTCTCTTTTCTCGTTCGTATCCTTTACCACGGAAGCGGTCTTCTTAGCTGCGCAAAAGAAGAAAATGATTTCCAACGACTTTTGAAGTTAACGGATGAATAAAAAAAAAAAAAAATGAAAGAGAAAAAGAAAAATTTATTAGTATTTCTCAACGGGATTCTCGTAGAGTCTCGTGTATTAAATAAAAAATAAATTGAAATTAAGGCAACCACAAAACGACTATATAATTTATTTATGATTTTATTGTTTAAATGCTGTCAAGTTTTATAACAATTTTGGATAAAAAGCATTAAAATGAAATGAAGAAAATTTCTGTAAATTGAAAAGCATATTTTTGAAAAAAATTTACGAATAACTGTAGTTTTGTTGTATCTATGTTCATTGTGCCGCTAGTTTCTATCCTTTTCTTTTACACCTATTTATCTATGCACCTATACATAATATACACGTACGCGATATTGAAATACAATTGTAAGAAAAGAAAAGAATATAAATCGTAAACACTTGATCTTTCCCATAGTACCAATTTTTTAAATATGCGAGAACAGAAGAGAAAGAAAGAGACGAAAAAGCCTTAGAAGAAAAATGGTAATATTAATATACAATAAAAAAAAGAAATATTAAATTTTTAGTGCCGATGTATAGACGATGTCAATAATTTCCTTTTTCCTTCTGTGAATTTCGAATTCTTATTGCAGAATCGTCTACCGGAGTAAAGAATATCATGTAAATTCTTACAATACAAAGGACACGTAGATATTCATTTGTTTCTTACCGTAAGAAAAAGCAAAAAAAAGAAAAAGAAAACTTTTATAAGATGTATAATATTAAATCCAGCGTGTCTGAATGTAATTTGTAATTTTTATATGTGGAGGGGGATGAATTAGTAATTTTTTTTTTATTCTCTTTTCCATCTATCTTCTGATTCCTTTACCTACCTTCTTTCCGATCCTTTATATCTCCCTCTTCTTTGTTTTTTTCTTCTAAGTTAAATCATCCTATTTTATAAAGTAATGTTGTCAGTTTCGTACAATCGACATGATTTACCGATACACAACACGGACATGGCATACAGATAACGACTTAAAACAATATAACGAAGCTCGTTTCTTCTGTAAATGAGCAATACACAATATCTATAATCAAGGTTGTTTTATGTATGATTGTGCGTGTAACATTGTTAATAAACTAACGATGCTTATGAAAGTCCCTTCATGCTCTGTATCTCCATTTATCTTGTTCATTTATGATTTCTTTATTCTTTTCTTTTTAATGTTTTATCTTATACACATATGTAAAAATAAAATTATGGAGATAAATTTTTTCACGATATTAAATTTTAATCGTTTAACACCTAGAATAATGTTAAATAATAAATCATAGTTATACTTTCAGCTTTTACCGCGATTGTTCTTATCGCACTCGCGTATTTACAAAATGATCCAATTTTTATAACACTAACAATAAGACATACTGAAGTTTAATACAAATTAAATGCTTATTGCTTATTTTGTTCTAGTTATTTTATTATAAATTTTTAATTTTGTTCGCAACATATAATATGTTTCATAATGTAAAATATTAAATACAGTAAAATTTGTTAGAATTTTCAAGATATAATATTAAATATAACAATTACATGTCCTAATAGTTATGGCAATTCCAATCTGTGCGTATGCACAAATAATTAAACAGTTAATCCAATAAAAGACACACGGTTGTAGAAAAAGATTATCATTATTCGCGTAATTATTAACAACACGCTTCGCGTGTAACGAGAAATAGCTCAGATTTTGACAATAACGATAATGATTCGACATTAAATTTATGCAGTTAAATTGTTACTCTTGAATTCATGCGAGCGTACGAACAATGCTAGTTAAGAAGGCTCTTGAGACTTGATAACATTCTTTATTAATCGCAGTTTAAAAACGTTACAGATTAATGTATGATCTATAATTAGACTGTTTTCTTGTTAAATTATTATTTACATCATTTTTTGAAATCTTTCGTTATTTTACGAGTACTCGATATATTTCTGAGTACTCGATAAATAATATTTAAGTTATTGAAACAATGATTTTAAATAATATAAGTATTGATTTTTTTAAAAATATGTAATTTGATTATTATTCCTGCCGCGTAAATTTCGTATAGTTGCCTGTAAAACAACTAAGTACTGAACATTTCAGCATGATACATTTTTATTCATATATGTCTGTGGAGTATATGCTTTGTCGACAAAATAAAATTGCTTAAAAGCATTTTATAATCCATTTTCTATTTGATATTGTTAATATAATATTATAAATACTACAAATTTTGAGTGAATGTGACTGTTTCTTTAATTTAAATATTATTTTTATTAATTTTTATATTACCAGTTACCGATGACTTCTATGGCTGTCAACATGTTACTAAAATATTAGAAAGATTCCATTTTCTAAAAGATTGTTTTAAAAATTAAAAAATTGTTAATTTAGTTACACGCGTATTTTTGGCGGCAATTTGAATCCAATTGAATTACAGAGTGTGCGCGGTAAGGGTTGAAGAACGCTAGCGCCGCCATGCCGGTAGTGGTTGCGCGCGCACGTTTTCTATCACCAGAAGTGTTCAGTTGGCGCTGCGCGGCCGCGTGATTCGCAGTTTTTAAAGTTTACGTTCGAGAAAATTTCTCAGTTTTGGTGTTTGTGTGCTCATGCTTCGGTTCAGCTGCGAAATAACAACAGAAGTTTCGTGTGATAAAACGGCGACTCTTTAAAATCTCGTTTTTTTTTAAACTCATCCTACGTGGTAACGACGTTAAATAATTCGCGGTAAAAAAACAGTCATTTTGAGGATATCTTAATTTTTATTTAAAATACTATAACGTTCGTTAATTAAACTTCTCGTAACATGATACTGTATCAGAGAGTGTAATTTATTCGTAAAAAGCATATCAATGTACGAACTAATTGATGATTTGCATCGATATTGCGAATATTGGCAGGTTCATAAACTTTGATTACGACGCCATTGAAATATGACGACATACTTTTAACGGCCTCTATCTTAGATCATTGTCGTAATTATTAAGTCATATTTTCCAAATACTGAGAGCGGATTAGATCAAATCAGATATTTAATCAGATATTTATAAGGAATCTCGCATATAATTTTCATAAAGTAAATTTTATTTAATACGTGAATATTCGTTCTCTTGAATATTCGAGTAGGATAAAAGTGAACGTAACCTTTTACTGTTAGGACATTGGTGGTGGACAGGACATTGTAACAGAACATGATGATAAAGTAGAAATAGACTTTTAGTAAATTAAATGTAGGTTAGTAGAGTTGTAGAGATGTAGAAAAAAAGCAACAGTTGCTTCTAAAACAATTGCTTTGTCTTTAATATAATTTGTTAGTTAATTTTATAAAAGATAATTTATGTATCGCGTAGTTATTTAACGCAAGTAATATTATAAATAAAAGTGTATATTTTTGCAATAACGCTTTCATAATGCATTGTAAATTACAATAACCTCAATAAAAATTGTATTATATATATTATACGTGAAAATGTACATTATGACACGTTAAATCTTGAGGTAACTTCAATAACTTAGTTTCGAAGAAAAATACACGTTGGCAAATCGAAATTTGCAATTTGAAATCTAAACATTTTAGATTCAATTAATATCAGTTTCAATTAACGATTGTAAACATCAGATTTTCTTAGCAGAATTTACTCGTCACTTAAAATTTTTACTTTCCACGAGAAAATAAATTTCGCGAAGTAAAACTTTACTCGAAATAACTGTACCACTGTCCATGAGATTTTATACGGTTTAATTGTACCTTGGTTGTAAAGTTCTGAACTTCTTTATCAATGCTGCTTTCGAACTGCTAACAATAAACCGGAAATACTCGAGAACAACGAAATCTATTCTACGGTTGATTGTCGTTTGTTGCGATCACTTTTTCCATTATCAAACGTCTAACTATATTTATTGAGGATAGCTTTGTAAAAAATTAGACGATTCGTATTGTAATTTATAGGGAAAGTTAAATTGAACGATCCGATGAAAATTTGATGAAATACAATTATTCAATGCATCAAATCTTTTTATTCACTGTGGTATCGATTCAAATTCCAAATCTCAAGCTGTTTCTTGAACGCCGAAAAGTTTCTTTAGAAATCTATTATGTTGATAAAACAACGATTATTGCAAATTGTATTTTTTAGATTATTTTAAATCACTTATGGGACATTCACTTATGAGATTTTACTATGCACAAATTATTCATAGATTTTTCATAGGATTCTATTATTTGTATAACATTCGTAGATTATTTATAAATTCATAGATTATTTTTGAGATTATTTGAGATTCTATTATTCCTAGTTTAGAATTCTATTATTCCTAGATTAACATTTTACCGGTTTTATTATTCATTAAATTTTACTATTGATAGATTCTTTGGTACTTAATTCTATCGTACTTAAATTATTTATAAAAGATTCTTCTGTGAAAAATTGAAATATACACAAAATTGAAGTATACACAATAAATTGAATTGAATTTATATAATTATAAGTTGAGTTCTCTGATGTGTTCTCTTATATGTTCTTATGTGTAAAGAAAAGAGCATATGTGAATGTACTCTGGGATAAATAAGATATTG